CATGTTACCATACCACTAATCTGAAAAATAAACCAACAAAGATCTTTGGGGGAGACTCTTGAATTCCGGCTTCAAAATGAAGGGATATATTTGAGATGAAATCCTGAGAGGCAATGGTGGCAAGTGGATATAACACAGTCTTTACCTTTCATGGGTCAGGTGCCAGCCATTCTAACAAGCATGAGCTTTGTAATGTCAGGGTCACATCTAGTTGCCTTCCAACCCAAAATTGTTGAGTGTTATCAATTTTAGCCCTTGTGTGCATATTTTGTGGTATTGATACACGTTATCTGTTTTTTTAAAATATCAGTAATAATACAATGATTTAATTAAGAATCACTTATTTAATTAAGAAGTCCTCACTTAACTAGCATTGTTGTTATGGAGCAATGCTAGAAGTCAAGCCAATAATTAGATTATATCCAATGCGGGAAAGAATCTTAAAGATCATTTAAATACGCTTTATGGTTTTTTTTAACAAATGAGAAATGAGGGCCTGGGGAAATAAAGTCATTTTGAAGGTCATACACAGGTAACTTACTGTAGATCACAGGAATGTTATGTTACCACACCACGAATATAATCTGGAAAATAAATCAGCAGAGGTATTTGAGGGAGATTCTTGAAGCTCTGCTTCAAAATAGATGGATTGTTTCGGATTGAATCCTGAGGAGTAATCGTGACAACTTTCATGGTCAGATGCTGGAGAGCATCTGGAGAGCCTCAGCTCTGTATAGAGAATCAACTCTGTCACCTTACAATCCAACATTATGTTTGGATTATCAATGTTGGCCCGTGTGTGTGTGTGTGTGTGTGTGTGTGTGTGTGCGTGTGTGTGTGTGTGTTTCATTTATAATGCACTTTATCTGTCTTATTTTAATATAAGTGATAATATAATTATTTAATTAAGGATTCCTCATTTAGCCAGCATCATTATTATTATGGGGAAATGTAGAAGCTGATCTATTAAGATTGCGTCTGAAGTAGGAAAGAAAATAGCATAGGTCATTTAAGGATGCTTATTTTTATTTGCAGATAAGGTGATTTTGAAGGTCCATACGACGGTAATTTACCTGGGTCAGAAGCATGTTGTCATGTCACTATACCATGAATGCCATAAATCAACGAAGGCATTCTTGAAGTTCAGCTTCAAAATAAATGGATGTCGAGGATTGCATTGTGAGAGATAACTGGGGCAACTGGACATAACAGAATCTTTATCTTTCAACAGTCAAGATGCTTAACATTCTAAAAAGCCTCGGCTCTGTATCTTACTTCATGTATCATCAAGTCTAGTCCCTTTCAGCCTAACAATGTAGGCCCTCGTTTTTATGTGTTTGTGTGTGTATTTGTTGGTAATATGTTCATGAATATGAGTGGTTGATACACAATCTGCAAAATAAATCAACATAGCTTCTTGAGGGAATTTCTTGCTGTTCAGACTTAAACTAAAGGGATATTTGCAAAGCATTATATTCTGAAAGTAATTCTGGAAATGGACATAATATAATCTTGGATGGACCTTTACAGTCAGACACTTCACATTCTAATGGACCTCTGCTCTGTATATAGGAGATCTGGATCTGTACTGTCTAACCAACAATGGTGAGGTGGCAATGATGTTTTCTGTGGCGGAGGGGGGTGTCTATTTGTGTGGATATTTAATGTATGAATCCCAACCACCATACTAAATAAAAAATGTAGTTCCTTGAGGGAAGTTCTCCATGTCCAGAACCAGAAAATGGAATACTTGGGATTAAATCCTGAGTGAACTCAGGCAATTAGACATGGCTGGCCTGAGTACTTTCCTTAAAATTGAGGTTCTGAAAGGACACTGGCTAACCTTAGAGGAAGAGGCTGCAGGAGCAGCAGATATTGCTAGTGTGAGAGAAATCAAGGGACTGAAGTGAATTTCCAGGGTGTCAGGAGTAGTCTAGAGTAAAGAGATATTGACTATTTTGATTGATAGAGTTTTTATTAATAGCATTCATTTAAAAAAAATTGAGTTCCAAATTCTCTCTCTCTTTCTTGCCTCTCCTCCATCCATGGAGAAGGCAAGCAATATGATCGGTACCCACACAAAACATCGCCATATTAGCCATTGAACTATAGAGTTTAAATACAACCTAGCTTGGGCTTATTCTAGGATGTTTGTTGCTAAACTTGTTCTCAAAACATTTCCAATGATCAGAGCTCATTAGGCCGAAGTGACCTAGATAATCCATGTCAGCACTCAGTGTGCTGATGATGGACTGGCCAGCATGACTTTAATGTTGGACAGGCAGACACATGAAGGATCCAAGGCCTCTCCACCAACACAAGTTGCAGCTAATCAGTGATGTAGTAGGCGAATACAAGGAGTTCCTGATGCCAAAATATGTTATTCACCAACCTGATCAGAGTCATCACATAGCCTAGTATTAAACATAAGAGACCAGGTATTCATGACTACAAATCTAGACAATTTCACTAACATATGCTCCCTCCCTCATTATGCTGCTAAGTGGGGGCAACAATGATCATGCCACTATGATACATAGGAAAGGGGAGTTGGTATAGAAGCAGCTAGGTGGCACTGCAGTGGATCGAGCACTGGCTCCCCCCAGAGCCCGGGACACTTGAGTTTAAAGTAAAGCTTCAGATAACTTACCACCTGTGTGACCCTGGTCAAGTCACTTAACCTCTGTTTACCTCAGTTTCCTCATATGTAAAATGGAGATGATAATAGCACCTACCTCTCAAGGTTATGACAATCCAATGAGATAAAAATGCATGGCCCAGCAAGGACGTGAGAAGCGCTATATATACATTTCTTCTTCTACTTATCATCATCACCATCATCACCATCACTATGATCATCACACCACAGTGATCTTTGAAGAGCCTTTCTGATCTTCATTCCTACAAATTGTCCATTGAAGACATGGAGTAAATTTTGCTATTCAGAACAAAATGATTAAATTTTATCAAAAAATAAAAATCTCCTATTTGTTTCCATAATGAATATTTAGAACTATGGATGCCTTCATTTAAGGGCATATTAGCGTACCACCCCCAATTTGTACCTCTGTCTTAGTCATTCAACCTTGGTTTTTTTTTTTTTTATTTTCCCTATAATCTAAGTGACCAAACTTTGAAGAAAAAGGTATGTGGTTTGCTGCTGTTTTATATTCTTCATGGTATTTGTTAATGTTTTTATGTGTTACATGTCTTTGGTTCTCAAAGCTCTGCCTGGTCAATTGGTATCCTTGGATGTTGAAATAAAAAAAAGAAATCTCCAATTTCCATGTACTTTTCTCCACTGTCGTTTAGAAAGGGACGTGCAATTTCACTGGTATAGAGAACTCTCAGTATGGAAAATCCCTTCACTAAAGCAGATCAGCTGGCTTAGGGAGTTTGCAGGAGGCACTGAGGGTTATTAAATAGGGCCAGATGAGCTTCAGAGGTGGGTTTTAACTAGGGACTTCCTGACTCAGCTCTACCATGCTAACTTTTCGACTCTCTGAATATATAGTAATCAAGGCCAATGGTTTTCACAGTTCTTTGATATCCTTTCACTTTAAATAGTAACTTCAGGAATGAATAGGATCTTCAAAGTATTGATTAAGTTGGCTTACTATGTAACCAAGCACTGGAAATCATATTAGTCAAGTAAGACTGCACCCCACAAAGCTCATGCTCTAATGGGAAAGACAACACCTATGAGACATTTGAGCTGCAAGTTGAATGGACCACCCATGGTGCTTAGGGTGAAATAGCAAAGCTGATGGTGATACCTCTTCCAATAAATCTTAATCACTTTCTGATGTTGAACCATTGGAATTAGGGTGAGGGTTAGTACCAAAGACTTTGGGGGCAAGAACTTGCTTTTCTGGGTCCTCCTTAGGTGACGCTGTAGGCCCTGCAGGAGCTCCTGCCAGGCGCATCTCCACAGGGGATCTGTCCCTGAATGAGTGAGGGCACCAGACTGGGAAGTGTTATTCTTCCCAAGGCTCCTGGGCCTGCTGTGTGTAGATGTCTGGCCCCTTCTCCACAAGACTTGCTTTCCCAGACAATAACTGTGAGGACTGGGCTAGAAGCAGACCTTGTACACCATAGTCAAGCAGGGCATGGCCACTCCCAAGTCCACCGTGCCTATCTAGAATGACTGCTGGTGTTAGTTGGTCAACATTTGTTGTTGATGATGATGAGGAAGGATGGCTCCCTCCCCACAACCATTTCTCCACTAATCATGTTCTTAATGTTTTACTATTTCAACTTTGATAGCAAATGCTTGCGTTTCTCTAGTGTCCAACATACCTAATCATTTTATTCCAGTTTCTCCTTTTAAATGTTTGTGCCTTTCTGTCTCAGCTCTCTATGTTTGCTGTGGCCACTATTTGTAGGTAATATGTTCATTAAATTTAAGCTAGAAAGAACCTTAAAAGCCATTAAATGTTCAAGTCATTCATTTATGTCACTTTTTTTCTAAGGGACAGTGACAAGTATAGTATGATGAACACTGAGGGCATATCATATTTTAAAATCAGTATTATTACCATTTTTGGTTAAAAGGTCAGATCATACTTTTAGTAAAAGTTAAGATGACCATTTTTGGTCAAAATGACTGTCCTAGGTAATGATCATCTCACCAACCGTCATATAACCAGCATTGTTGGGCAAGCTGGCATGTCACCCTCTGGGAGGTATATACAGAGGCCCTTGAGCCCAGTGGGAACATAATCCCAGAAGTGAGGGGCACTGTAACACCTCCTCCACTAGAAAAGGGAGTGATGCCCTAGAAACTCTGTGCTGAAGGAAATGGCAATGTCCTCAAGGGTTCCTTAGGCCCCTGACTGTAAAAGCCTTTCCACATTGATTACATTCATAAGGTTTCTCTCCAGTGTGAATTCTCTGATGTCTGGCAAGAGTGGCACTGTCTCTAAAAGCCTTTCCACATTGATTACATTCATAAAGTTTCTCTCCAGTATGGATTTTCTGATGTACTCTAAGAGAGTCTCTCAGTGCAAAGCCTTTCCACATTGATTACATTCATAAGACTTCTCTCCAGTATGGCTTCTCTGATGTCTAGCAAGAGTGGAATTGTCTCTAAAAGCCTTTCCACATTGATTACATTCATAAGGTTTCTCACAAGTGTGGATTCTTTTATGTAAAGTAATATTAGCTTTCAGTGGGAATGATTTTCCACACTGATTACATTCATAAGGTTTTTCTCCCGTGTGGATTTTCTGATGTTCAGCAAGACTGGAGCCACCTCTGAAAGTCTTTCCACATTGATTACATTCATAAGGTTTCTCTTCAGTATGGATTCTCTGATGTTTAGCAAGATGAGCCCTCAGTAAGAAAGATTTTCCACACTGATTACATTCATAAGGTTTTTCTCCAGTGTGAATTCTTTGATGTTGAGCAAGACTGGAGCTGCCTCGGAAAGTCTTTCGACACTGATTACATTCATAAGATTTCTCACCAGTGTGGATTTTCTGATGTACACTGAGATAAGACCTCTGGGTAAAAGCCTTTCCACTTTGATCACATTTATAAGATTTGTCTCCAGTGTGGATTATCTGATGTATTTTAAGACAGGACCTCGGTGTAAAACCCTTTCCACACATATTATATCATACAATTTCTCTCCAGTGTGGATTCTCTGATGTTGAGCCAGACTTGCCCTGTTCGTGAAAGCCTTTCCACACTGATTACATTCATAAGGTTTCTCTCCAGTGTGGATTCTTTGATGTAGAGCACAGAATTCTCCCCAAGTGATGTCACAGGGACCATCATCCATGGATCTTTGCTCCTGAATTTCTTCCACAGAAAGACTTAGCTCTGCTATAGTCTCCTTCACTTCCAGTCTCATGTCTCCTTCTGAAAGAAACAAGCAATAAAATGTGTAATTATTTCCTCTTCCTTCCATTGGCAGAACATAAATTCCTTTATATTCTCTTTCCCCAGGTAAAGAGAAAAGTCTTCAAACTTCAAGTCTTCAAATTAGCAGAACAAATTGTGTCAAAATGCCATTAGCTCACATCCCAAGGATGATTTAATTTACAAAGAGCTTCACACACAATTACATTGGATCCTCACAACAAACCTGTGACAGAGGCAGAGCATTATTATCACTTTCACAACTCAGGCCACAAGTTCAGAATGGCTGAGTGAACTGACTGAAATCCCAGAGACAGAGACAAGAACTCAAACCCATGACTTAGCATGCTCTGTCCATAGTACTAGACAGACTGTTTCCACTTTCAATCTTTCCTTTTCATCATCTGTACTTTCAAATTTTTTTCCCTAGATATATGCCATTTGGTGCACATATACTAAATATTCAAATTATTTCATAATCTTTCATGTCTGGAAGTATTATGTAATTTCCCTAGTAATAGCTTTCAATCTTATTCCTTTCTCTTGCAGTATTTGAGGTCATATGAAGAATACCAGTACTGTTTTTTGTATTTATCTAAAGCATAAAAGATTTCATTCTGGCCTTTAACAAATTTTATTTGTGAGGCAACTGGACTTATCCAGGGTCATACAGTGGTAAATATCAAGTGTCTCAGGCCAAATTTGAACTCAGGTCCTCCTGATTCCAAGGCCGGTGCTCTATCGACTGTACCACCTCGCTGCCCCTTGGCCTATCAATGTTTTGGGCTAGCCATTACTTATTTCTTTTTTTTTTAAATTGTCTTTAAGTGCCTGGGCTCACTAAAATAAAAATGAAATCCTTGTAGTAATGATTGCACATGTATAACCTATATCAGATTGCTTACCATTTCAGGGAGAGGAGAGGGGAAAGATGGAAAGAATTTGGAATTTGAAATCTAAACAAATGTTTGAAAAGTTTTAATGTCTAATAGGAGAAAATAAAACATATTAAAAAATAAAATGTTTGTACTAAAAAAAATTCTCATAATAAATGCAATTTTTAAAACATATGGTCTTTCCCATGTCTGAAAATATGTATCTCATACATGAATTTGAGTCTATCATCCTCTTGTAAAGAAGTGGACAGGTGACGTAGATGGGGAAGGTTGGAGGTGAAGCTGAAGTGACTGGCTGCTTGTGGAAGGTGGTTTTGCTTCATCTTGTTCTGAAGGCTCTTCAACCAGCTACAATGTGAGCAGACAATGATGCTTCCCTCTCCATTTATGATGAGACTTTGGGATCAAAACTTGCTCAAAAAGCTAAAGAGGCACCATTTGTCCCAATTGGGATGGTAGGCTTTGCAGCTATTGTTGCATATGGATTATACAAACTGAGGAGTAGAGGGGACACTAAAATGTCTGTCCACCTGATTCACACGAGTGTGGGAGCCCAAGGTTTCGTAGTAGGAGCAATGACTGTTGGTATATTGTACTCCATGTATCAGGAATACTGGGTAAAACCCAAACCTTAGAAGGAAAGATGCTGTCTTCATGCTGATGTTTTAGAGTTAGATACCTCACATTGAGGTCATCTGTTTATGTTTAAAAATAAATCATTTAGGGATATGTGGTTCTAAAAAGCAGCACATGTCAGAGACAAGCAATCATGATATTTTAAAGATGGGATTTTTTTTTCATGGAAGTTTGAGTTTCCCAGGTGATTCAAGGTATACTGATTAGTATCAGAGAGTGAATTAGGAGAGCTAAGTTAGCACAAAAGGAACTGGTCACTGAAGCTTACTTGGGATAAATTATATTCATATTCCTCAAATCTCAAAAATTAATGACTGAAAAATTAGAGGGCCAAGACATAGCTCCTATTGCTTTAAGACAGGAAATATTTGGGGATATAATATGGGAAGCTGCTTTAACACAATTCAGGAAACACTTCCTCATCTTGTAGAATGATGGAAACTTCAGTGTCTAGGGCTGCCTGGCTTTGACTAGGACCAAAAGAACATCTGTAAGAAAAACATGAAATAAAATATTGTAGCAAGAATTTTCTTCTTTATATTTAAGATGAGCCTTGAATAGTTGTTAACCAGGCTACTTAACACAGTAGTATTTATTATGAAGTTAGTAAAAGATAAGAATAACAAGTGGTATGGCTTAGTTGTATTTTTGCTGCTACCATATTGAAATTGTTTTTTAAATGCTATCTGTTTTATGTGTATTTGAACTGCTTGTTCAGCAGTAAAGAGACTTAAAATGTGTGCAGTATTGTGTTTTCTCTCTAAGAGTCATGTCCAATTGAAAAATACATTACTGTCCTTTAGATCTGACGGTTTATCATATTATGGGCTCATTCTCCTAATGCAAATGTTGACATATTTAAGTAATGCTTTGTTACACTTGTGGAATTCTAATGTTTAAAATGAATTGACATTCCATGGTAATAACATGGTATGGATATTATTAAATAAAATGAACACATCACACACACAGAAAAGAAGTGGACAGCATGCTTCATTATTAGTCTTCTGGAAGCTCTTTCCCATTTATGGTTTCACAAACCCCATTGGAGGTTCTATACAGCTGTCCAAAGGATTAACTAAAAATTTGTTAATGTCACCTTAAGTATTAAGTAATCATCCACTTTTGTTGCTAAGATATTTATGCTCTGGGACAACAAGCTTGTACAAATTTCAATGATAATAGAATTCTTTTTGCAGTGATTCCAAATCATTATGGTCAGGCATCTAATGCTTTTGGGGTTCTTTCAATAAGAACATCACACTCTGACTGCTTCTGACTATTGTAACATGTTTTTTTCCATTTCTCAACATCAAATTATTTCCAAACTTCCAGAAACGTTGGACATTCATGTGCAAATGGTCACAAGCATGCACAGACCCTCAATGGCTCTTTGGAACTGCACCACAATAGCCCTCTCATTCCTGGGTTACCTTGTAATCACATCTCCTCAAAGCTGTAATCACCAGATCAAGATGTTACAGGGGTTTGCATTCTTGCAGTAGAGATAACAGGCTCTTTGGAACCATGATTGCTCTGCATGTACAGTAGAGGCCACATTGAAGCCATCATGGACCCCTACAAATGTTCTACAAAAACAGACCTTAAAGAACCCCTCATTGCAATGCTAAGATTGTTCTCAGATTTGAACCTATCCTCTACTTATGTTATTATTCGCCTCCCTGTCAGCTTCTCAAATGAACTGTTTGGCAACACAGATTAGTCATTCAGTAGAGTTTCAATGAAAACGTACCTGGTTTTTCATTGGCAGAAAAAAGAAAGTTATGTCTGAAGAAATACTATCCTTTCAACATTGATTTTAAATACAAACATTGTTTAAAAAAAGATACATTCTGTGCAATTAACTTCCAAGTACATTTATCATTGTACATTATCATAGTCTTATATCATGGGACACACTACTTGTCATGAGCTAGGAGAAAAATAAATCTTTTATATAATAACCATCAGTTCATTGTATTTACTGGTTAGGGAGCTAAAAACAATGAATTTTCATCATTTGGGATTGTCTTAGATCATTGCATTGTTGAGAAAAGCTAAGTCATTCATAGTTCCTCGTGAAACAATATTACTCTTATGATGTACCATGTTCTGGTTCTGTTCACTTCATTATGCATCAATTCATGTAAGTCTTTCCAGGATTTGCTAAAATCATCCTGCTTGTCATATCTTACAGCACAATAGTATTCCAGTAAAATCATATATCACTGCTTGTTTAGCCATTCCCAAACTGATGTGCATCACTTCAATTTCTAATTTTTTGCCCCCACAAAAAGAGCTGCTATAAATACTTTTCTACAAATAGGTGCTTGTCCCTTTTTTTGGATGTCTACCTAGAAGTGGCATTGCTGGACGAAAGGGTATGCACAGTTTTATAGCCTTTTGAACATAGTTCCAAATTGCTCTCCAGAATGGTTGAATCAGTTCACAACTCCACCAACAGTGCATTGATGTCCCAGTTTTCCCACATCCCCTCCAATATCCAACATTTTCCTTTTTGGTGATATTAGCCACTCTGATTGGTGTGAGGTAGTACTTCCAAGGTGTTTTAATGTGCGTTTCTCTGATCAATATTGATTTAGAATATTTTTTTTCATATGACTATACATGCTAGCTATTATTTTAATCATGATTTTGATTTAGATTATTTCCCCCCCAATTGTGTTCTCCTTCTCGGATTGTTATTATCCTCACTCCTTGTCATTTCTCTGTTGAACTAAATGTATTTCCATTCAAAAACAATCCCTTTTCAAGTAGATCAATTAAGAGTAAGGTTCATCTTCTGTTCTTCTCTATCTCCATGTTTGTTTACTATGTTGGGAGCTCCCTGATAGCAGAGACTTTCTTTTACCTTTCTTTGTACCCTTAGAGCTTAGCACAGTGCTTAAAACACAAGGTGCTTAATCAGTGTTTATTGATTGCTTGACTGGGCAGAGGGCTGACAGCAGACCCTAACCTCTACTTCAATCCCTGCATTCTGGCCTCTCTCTGAATTATCAAACGCATGTTCTGGCTTCAGTCATAGTTCTGTCTCTTTCTTGCATTAGGTTCTAACTCTGATGGAACCTGACCAGACCCAACATTAAAGATCACAGATGCTCCCTTTTAGGCTCCTGAAGGGTCTTATACCATGGGACACCTTCAAGTCTCTACCTCCTAGCTCCCTAAACTGAGGTCATAGTTACTACATGAACTTGGTCAATGAGTCTCCAAGAATCAGACAGAGATTGAGCCATAGAGATCAGGAAAGGGACTTGGGATAATGATTTATGTATAGCTCAGCCTCACACGACTTCTAAGTAAGACAGCAGCCTTCACTCCAACTCATGTGCTCCTGGATGAGAGATAGAAAATCATGAAATCAGGCCACCTGGGTCCATTACAAATTTCAGCTACCTAATCTTAGCTGGACCCTCATTGTGGCAAGGCAATCTTTTGACATCTACC